CTGTGATTTCGTGTATAGGGCAAGGAGGAACAACATCTTGTAGGAGTGAGGAAGAGCCAGTTGTGAGTGTGGGGGGAAGTTCGTGAGGCAGTAGGTAAAATGAAAGGGGGTAAGGCAGCCGGGATTGATGGGATAAAGATAGAAATGTTAAAGCAGGTGGGGATATAGTTTTGGAGTGGTTGGTGCAATTATTTAATAAATGTATGGAAGAGGGTAAGGTACCTAGGGATTGGCAGAGAGCATGCATAGTTCCTTTGTATAAAAGCAAAGGGGATAAAAGAGAGTGCAAAAATTATAGGGGGATAAGTCTGTTGAGTATACCTGGTAAAGTGTATGGTAGAGTTATTATTGAAAGAATTAAGAGTAAGACGGAGAATAGGATAGCAGATGAACAAGGAGGCTTTAGGAAAGGTAGGGGGTGTGTGGACCAGGTGTTTACAGTGAAACATATAAGTGAACAGTATTTAGATAAGGCTAAAGAGGTCTTTGTGGCATTTATGGATTTGGAAAAGGCGTATGACAGGGTGGATAGGGGGGCAATGTGGCAGATGTTGCAGGTGTATGGTGTAGGAGGTAGGTTACTGAAAGCAGTGAAGAGTTTTTACGAGGATAGTGAGGCTCAAGTTAGAGTATGTAGGAAAGAGGGAAATTATTTCCCAGTAAAAGTAGGCCTTAGACAAGGATGTGTGATGTCACTGTGGTTGTTTAATATATTTTATAGATGGGGTTGTAAGAGAAGTGAATGCAAGGGTCTTGGCAAGAGGCATGGAGTTAAAAGATAAAGAGATCACACACAAAGTGGGAGTTGTCACAGTTGCTCTTTGCTGATGACACTGTGCTCTTGGGAGATTCTGAAGAGAAGTTGCAGGAGATTGGTGGATGAATTTGGTAGGGTGTGCAAAAGAAGGAAATTAAAGGTGAATACAGGAAGGAGTAAGGTTTTGAGGATAACAAAAAGATTAGGTGATGAAAGATTGGATATCAGATTGGAGGAGAGAGTATGGAGGAGGTGAATGTATTCAGATATTTGGGATGTGGACGTGTCAGCGGATGGGTCTATGAAAGATGAGGTGAATCATAGAATTGATGAGGGGAAAAGGGTGAGTGGTGCACTTAGGAGTCTGTGGAGACAAAGAACTTTGCCCTTGGAGGCAAGAGGGGAATGTATGAGAGTATAGTTTTACCAACGTCATATATGGGTTGTGAAGCATGGGTGATGAATGTTGCAGCGAGGAGAGAAGGCATGGAGGCAGTGGAGATGTCATGTTGAGGGCAATGTGTGGTGTGAATATAATGCAGAGAATTCGTAGTTTGGAAGTTAGGAGGAGGTGCGGGATTACCAAAAATGTTGTCCAGAGGGCTGAGGAAGGGTTGTTGAGGTGGTTCGGACATGTAGAGAGAATGGAGCGAAACAGAATGACTTCAAGAGTGTATCAGTCTGTAGTGGAAGGAAGGAGGTGTAGGGTCGGCCTAGGAAAGGTTGGAGGGAGGGGGTTAAAGGAGGTTTTGTGTGCGAGGGGCTTGGACTTCCAGCAGGCATGCGTGAGCGTGTTTGATAGGAGTGAATGGAGACAATGGTTTTTAATACTTGACGTGCTGTTGGAGTGTGAGCAAAGTAACATTTATGAAGGGGTTCAGGTAAACCGGCAGGCCGGACTTGAGTCCTGGAGATGGGAAGTACAGTGCCTGCACTCTGAAGGAGGGGTGTTAATGTTGCAGTTTAAAAACTGTAGTGTAAAGCACCCTTCTGGCAAGACAGTGATGGAGTGAATGATGGTGAAAGTTTTTCTTTTTTGGCCACCCTGCCTTGGTGGGAATCGGCCAGTGTGATAATAAAAAAATAAAAAAAAATAATAATAAAAATATTATAAGGTAAAAGTTTCACAAACTCTTACAAATGTACATGAATGAACTAAAACTGGACACGTATTAATACCGTCTATTTGCGCTGACCGAGTGATCTTCCACAACCTGTTCAGTTTTTTGTTTGTTTACGCTGTCTGAGCTCGGTGTATCATTAAATGTTGTATATTACGTTAATATACACATTTTCATTAATCCATCCGTGATATTTTTTTCAAAATTATATAATAAACACGATACATAACATAAATATATAACATATGTGTAGAGAACCTAGGATAACCCAAAAAAGTCAGAGTGACTTACTTCCATTGCCTTCACTCAGAGCATCATTTCTTCTCAAAATGATTTTACATGAGAATGGGAGTGTTCTTCTTTATTTATTCTACCGTATCAATGTAGAGACAACATGTACACAATGTAACTTGTACACAAACCAGACGTGTACACTTCGTTTGTTTACAAAACTTACGTTCGCCTGGTTTGTTTACATAACTCTGCGCCTGTCCTATCTCATGCACTCATTCTTTCTCTCTGGTATTGTAGCCTGGCTGACTACCATACATGCCACACTTGATTTTTTACAATAAATACTACTCATCTCACCCTATATTTTAAGGTAAGTAATGAGTGAACTGTATATACATTTTATCGCTCTGGATGCTTAAATATCATAGAATAATATGTGTGGGTGGGGTGACCTGGTATGGTAGCCTGGCTGACTACCATACATACCACACTTGATTTCTTACAATAAACACTGCTTGTCTCACCCTAGATTAAGACTATAAATATTTTAAGGTAAGTAATGAGTGCACTATGTGTGTATTGTACTTTTTTATTGTTTTTTGATGCCTGGTTCTATTGCTAACATAATATATGTTAGTGTAAACTTGTTATCTAGTGTTTGTATGCATTTGTAAGTGGAAAAAAAGGGTGTTCCACTTTACGGCAGTTTCCGCTTTATGGCGGTAGCCTGGACCTAACCCGCCGTATAAGTGGGGCCCTCCTGTATATATAATATATATAATATATATATATATAATATATATATATTTATATATATATATAATATATATTTATTATATATATATATATATATATATATATACACACATACATATATATACATATACACACCTACCATCCAACTTACGACCAAGCTTAGTTCGACCAACCGGTCGTAAGTCGAAATGGACGTAAGTCGAACCTTTGAAAATTGCCGACATTGCCGACATACTGGGTAGTACATAATGTCAAACTTTTCCTATATAAACTACCTACATAGTACTGTAATGTAATGTACAATCATTATTTCATTTTTTTTACCATAATTTACTTCTATTGTTATATTTTAATTATTTATTTACTGTATATAAATGTATACATGGTAGTGAACTGTATTGTAAATTTTACATTGCATACAGTATCATGTGTTACTGTTATCTTTATGTATTGTCGACACTGGAATGGGAGAATACCACTGGTAGTGTCACCGTGCCAGAATGTAGTATAACCTATACCCTAAGTAAAGAGAAACGACTCTGGAACGTGTAATACGTATCCGGCTGGCGGGTGGGTGATTGGCTGACTGAATGTGTGTCTGTGTGTCTGTCTCTCTCTGTCTGTCTGTCTCTGTCTCTCTCTCTGTCTGTCTCTGTCTCTGTCTGTCTCTCTCTCTCTCTGTCTGTCTGTCTCTCTGTCTCGTCTGTCCTTCTCTCTCTCTCTCTCTCTCTCTCTCTCTCTCTCTCTCTCTCTCTCTCTCTCTCTCTCTCTCTGTGAGGTGCACGTAAGTAATCATACATAGTATAAATTACCTAGGATAACCCAAATAATCCAGACAAAGTGCTATTCAGTGGATCTGTGCTCCAGTGCCCTAAATTAATAATAATAATAATAATTATTATTATTATTACAATAATACATATATATTAATATTATTAAACTATAATATAATAATCGTGTCCACTCATTACTTACCTTAAAGTATCTGTAGTCTTAATGTAGAGTGAGAGGTGAGTAAACAAGATTAAATGAATAAACGGATGAGTGTGTAGAAGGTTGGCGAGTTATGTAAACAAACGTTGTTGTTACCAGCTAACACGAAAGATTCCTGTTCACTCTGTCAAGCCAACCAGAAAAACATCTCATATTTGTTAATTTATATGTTTATATGTTATGTAGCATGTTTATTATATAATTTTGAAAAAGAAATCATAGATGGATTAAGCAAAATGTCTATATCAACGTTTTATACACATTTAATGCACCTCAGTGATTATTGTGTTCTTATCATTATTAATATGGCATCTTCGAGACCAATTACATGCTTAATGAGGCAGTGGAGATGTCTTGTCTGAGGGCAATGTGTGGTGTGAATTTTTAAAGCAGAGAATCCGTAGTTTGGAGATTAGGAGGAGGTGCAGGATTACCAAAACTTACCCAGAGGGCTGAGGAGGGTTATTGAGGTGGTTCTGACATGTTGAGAGGATGAAACAAAATAGAATGACTTTTTAGAGTGTATAAATCTGTTGTGGAGGAAAGGTTGGGAGGAGGGGTAAGGTTTTGTGTGCGAGGGGCTTGGACTTCCAGGAAGCATGCGTGAGCATGTTAGATAGTGAATGGAGACAAATGGTTTTAGGACTGGACATGCTGTTGGAGTGTGAGCAGGGTAACTTTTAAAGTAGGGATTTGGGGGAAACCAGGAGGCCGGACTTGAGTTCTGGAGATGGAAAGTACACTGCCTGCACTCTGAAGTGGGTGTTCATGTTGCAGTTTTATGACTGTAGTATAAGCATGCCTCTGGCAACACAGTAATGGAGTGAATGATGAAAGTTTTTCATTTTCGGGCCACCCTGCCTAGGTGAGAAACGGCTGATGTGTTAGTAAAAACTTTTAATAAAAAATGTACCTTGTGTTTAATAAAGACATTTTGTGATAATACACTAATTCACTTAAGGATAAATATTGATACACTAATTCACTTAAGGATAAATATTGATACACTAATTCACTTAAGGATAAATATTGTGCCAAGGAAGGACATCATGCAGTTAGTGTCTTATAACCAGTTGTCATTATGCCTTCAGTTTGCACCAGTAGCTGTTTTTTTTTGCTAGAGATGCTGTGAGTGATTGGCTCTTCATCTTCTGGCCAAGCAAAAAATAATGGTTGTGAAAGACATAGAACGTGAGGATATTTGAGTTTGTTTGTAAAACTCTAGGATGCCGACCAGTTGCTTCTTTGGATCATTTTACGCCAGAGTCCTTGGGTACAGCTGAACTGGCAGAAGAAATTCAAACTGGTAGCAGCAAATTTGTGAAAGTTACAGGAGTGCAGAACACAGGAAGAACTGTATCAATATTGCTGAGAGGTAGCAATAAGCAGGTAAGAATTTTTTTTAGGGGGGGTAAATAATGACAAGGAATTCTTATGTTCATTACCTGAGTATTTTGAAAATAGCCATTTTATTCAAGGGTGACCTACTGGAGATATTCATTGGGCCCAGCTGGTTGTAACTTGTATTTTTATAGAGAAACTGAAAATTGGTATAGATACAAATATTAAACAAATCAAGGATTACCTTGGCATTTTAAAATGTTGATAAAATGTTAATGCAAATAATAAAAGGATGCTGAACAATTACTAGAAGTTGTCTTACATATTCCTCTTAATGAATCTTATTAAATGTACTTTATAGTATTAGATTTTTATTTTACATTTAAGGTTTTGGAGGAAGCTGACAGATCACTTCATGATGCACTTTGTGTGATTCGCTGCTTAGTTAAAAAGAGGTTCCTCATTCCTGGTGGTGGAGCGCCTGAGGCAGAGTTGTCTGTCAAGTTAACACAGTATGCACACACACTGAAAGGCATGGATGCATACTGCTTCCGGTAAGGGGATTTGACAAATGCATTACTTAAATTGAGATAAAAAAAAAATATTAAATGGCTGCAATTGGCAGGTGACCTTGTCCATGACTTGCATATCTCCAGATAATAACAGTAAAAGCTAATGACATGCAAGTGTTCAGAAAGTAAAGACAATAGGAGTTCATTCATGTCTTGTAAGTGTAAAGGATAACAGGGAGGTCTAAAGCCTAAAGTTCACCTCCCAATGAACTTAAGTGTCATATATGAGTGCCTCTGCAAAGACTGATTATGTATGAATGATGATGAAAGTTTTTTCTCCCTTTTTAGGTTTTACTTTCTTTTTGGGTCACCCTTCCTCGGGAAAACGGCCTGACTTGTTAAAAAAAAAAATTCCGTATATACTGCATATCAAGCCAAAAATGATTACCCAATTAAGTTCATAGGGAGATGAACTAAGGCTTTGAACCTGCCTGTTATCCTTCACACTAACAAGACATGAATAAACTACTGTCTTTACTTTTAAAACACTTGCATGGCATTAACTTTTACTGTACGTGTATTATCTAGTTCATTTCACTTTATTCTAATATCGAAGTGTTTACTAATGTGTGTGCTTTAGTTTTTGTGTACCTTTTCCATGTGTCCTGTCTCAAAGGAGTGGTTATCTATCCTGGTGAGGGACTCTTGATCTAAGCAAGTGAAGTGAATCTATCCTTCCTTACCTTGGATTGAGCTTGATTGTGTATCATTCACCAGTGCTGTATAACCTATAAAGGTTTAGTGCTTTCCCATATGTATACATCTTTGTGGATCCCTTGTTGGTAAAGTGCCTCTTCTTGCCAATCTTTTGAGTGCCTAAAGCACAATTTATATTAAATGATTGGTCTCCAGGTGGCAGTCTGCATACTAAATAATTATTTAACATGCAGTGGTGCCAGGTGGCCGTCTGTATATTAAATAATTGGTCTTAAGGTGGCAGTCTGCATATTAAATAATTGGTCTCCATGTGGCAATCTGTATATTAAATGTTTTTTAGGTGAAGGGTAGTTTTTTGTGAGTTTATACATTTCTGAAGCTCTGTCTTATGTTTGCCACTCTAATGTGTGTTGATGTTTATGTTCATGATGTCTGTGTTTTTGGAGACAATGGCAGTGTCGCATCGTGTTTGATAGTGTTGGTTGATCTAATAACTTGTGTCATGCATCGTCTCCTCAGTTTATAGTGCTCATGGTACAGAAGTTGGTGGTGCCTGGAATCTTCAGTTAATAAACAAACAAGAACTATCAAACATAACAAGGGATTGTAAATGGTATGGTGTTATTTAAAAGCTGTGGAAAAGATACTTGTACGTTTCTGCTCTGCTTATTTTTGCTTTCTGGTGTACGGCTTGCTTAGGAAAGTGAAAAATGGTGTATTTAATGAAGTACGTAACTGTTTGTTCAATTGCAGGGGCCTTTGCTGAATCACTGGAGGTAATCCCAGGTATATTGGCTGAAAATGCTGGTCTTAGCCCATCTCAACAGTTACTGAGCTGCGTAACAGACATGCTCGTGGGGAAACGCATGCTGGAATCAATGTTCGCAAGGTAGGAAATCTTTTTGTAAAAGTGCTAGAGGTTAATGAGCAACTTTTGAGAATAAGTCATATGGTAGTACTGGTCATCGCAATGTGAATTATGATGCCAGTAATGCAGCTGGAAAGTTTTCATGTATTTATGCGTTTTGTTTAATGTAATAAAAAGTCAGAATATGTTTAATAATACCCTCCTCTGAGAGGAGGCAGTGCATACAGCTTATGAAGTGGCACTGCAGTAAACCCTGTGGTGCCTTCAAGCTAACATTTTATTATCCTGTGCATATGTTGAATTATATACTTGGTCTGCATGACTGATGCGGATTGTGATAAAGAAAATGTGAACAGATTATTGGTTACAAATGCAAGAGTGTAGGACTTAAAACTGTAAATGTGCATTATTTTGTTTCATGTTTGCATAGAATTCCATAGAATTGCATAGAATGTACAGCATGTTCACATTATCGAAAACCTAAAAGGCAATTACTCAGTTTCATCTGGAGACTAAAAGAGAGGTTAAAAGAGTATTAAGGAAGTAAAAGGAGGCAAATGAGAGAGTGATTATAGTAAATTGAGAAGGCCTAGGAATGAATGACTTTAAGTTAAAAAAAATAAGAGGGGAGTTATTAGATGGAGTGAATATTTTTAGATATTAAATGTTGATGAAGAGAAGGGAGTGATTCATGTATTGCCTAGGGAATTGTAACATTTTTTTAGGAGTGAGGAAGAGCCAGATGTGAGTGTGGGGGAGGTGTATGAGGCAGTGGGTAAAATGAAAGGGGGTAAAGTAGCTGGGATTGATGGGTTAAGACAGAAATGTTAACAGCAGGTAGGGATGTAATTTTGGAGTGTTCGTAAATATATGAAAGGAATGAAGGTACCTAGAGATTGGCAGAGTTCATAGTTTTCCTCTGTATAAAAGAAATGGGAACAAAAGACTGTTAAGAATTATAGAGGAATAAGCCTGTCGAGTTTACCAGGAAAAGTGTATGGTATAATTATTATTAACCCTTTGACTGTCGCAACCACCAATCCTGAGGTGTCTCCTGGTGTCGCAAAATTTAAAAAAAAAAAAAAATTCTTATGAAATGATAGAGAATCTTTTCCCGATTGTAATGACACCAAAAAAACGAAATTTTATGAAAACTGACGGAATTATGCTCTCGCGAAGTTAGCGACCTCGGCGCTGTTACAAATCGGCGATTTCGCCCACTTTGAGCCCTATTTTCGGCTAATTCCATTGTTCCAGTTGCCCAAACTCATAGCTATTTCTTTAGAACTCCATTTTTTCTATCGATTGAGTACAAGAAACTGTCTATTTACCGATATCAACTACCTATAATGGGTCAGAAATTTGCAATTTGGCCAATTTCACAAAAACTAAAAAATATGACAATTCAAAATAAGGTCCAGAATGAACAATGCAGACATTCCTAGCTCTAAAATAACATTTTCTTTGCTCATCAGTCATGTCTCCAGGCCCCTCTGATATTACTCTTGCTTTCTATTTTGAATTTTTATTCAAACAAAAAATAGAAGACTTACTATTTGCAGACTACTGCAATACTGTAATAATTGTATAAATAACATCAACCCATTCATGACTGCATACTAGAATGGCTAGTTGGACATTTATTGGGACAATGGCATCATTTGTTTACTTTTGAACATTGGCAAAAATCAAACATTTCCCTACTTTGAGCTCCATTTCTAGGCTCTTTTTATAGTAAAATCAATTAAAATCACCTCTATTTCTGTAATACGTTTTCCATTCTATCAAAAAGAGACCAAGAAAACGAGAATACAACCATAAATACTATACGAAAATAGACCACAAAGTCGGCATTTTAATTAAAAAAAACCGTCGGAGTTTTTTTTTTTCTCATTATGCACTGCGTGCTCCAGGATTTTTTTATATGGTGCACACTGACCACACAGACCCATTCTCTCACATGTGGGCCTACCAGCTTTTTCCTGCTTGATTTGAAGCCGCTAGAATTTTATGAGTACAGGAGGGCCCCAATTATACGGCTGGTTAGGTTCCAGGCTACCGCCGTAAAGAGGAAACCGCCGTAAAGTGGAACACCCTTTTTTTCCACTTACAAATACATACAAACACTAGATAACAAGTTTACACTAACATATATTAAGTTAGCAACAGAACCAGGCATCAAAAACAATAAAAAAGTACAAAAACACACATAGTGCACTCATTACTTACCTTAAAATATTTATAGTCTTAATCTAGGGTGAGACAAGTAGTATTTATTGTAAGAAATCAAGTGTGGTATGTATGGTAGTCAGCCAGGCTACCATACCAGGCCACCCCACCCACACATACAATTCTATGAAAATTGAGCATCCCAGAGCGATAAAATGTATATACAGTTTTACTCATTACTTACCTTAAAATATAGGGTGAGATGAGTAGTATTTATTGTAAAAAATCAAGTGTGGTATGTATGGTAGTCAGCCGGGCTACCATACCAGGCCAACCCACCTATGGAAAATTTTCTAGGGTGCTTATCGGTATGTACCTCAACATTATATACATACAAGTAATCTCATTGGGAGACAACCATATTGTTTACCGTAGTCACCCCGTGTAGACATGTGAGAAAACTTAACCACCTCTGGTCACTACAGGTGGCCCCTTCGACCTCACAATCTTATCCATATCTATCCGAGACCAGTATGGATTGGATAGCACCCACAAGTACGGTGCTACTAATTAATTGTGGACTGTATATATTATATTAGTTTAGCTGAATGAAGGGGGGGGGGGGTAGGATACACATGGATACATCCATCAAGGAAAAAACATTTGTACATAATCCCACCACTTACCAGATGTTCTCTGGTGGTCACTTGATGTAGCTGGATCACTCATAACCTATCCAATTACAACATAACCTAACTGGCCAGCATGAGTCTGTTATAACTAGAAGGGTTACTTAACTGTGGGTGATTGATACTCCTTATTTCCTCCATTCACCATCTCATTTCGATGTCCTGCTACACCGACACGGTTCTCATTCCGGCAGCACGAGGTATCCGTCGGTTTGTTCCGGTTTAGAAGTCGTGATTCCATAAATCTTCATTATCCCGGTACGAGAGTCACACGTTCACTTGGAGCAGGGCGCTCTATTTCACATCCCGCATTCTCTTAACTCAATGTTATTATCACTGATTACATTACCATTCACAAGACGATTTAACGTCTCATAACTATTATACAAATTAGAGGTCACTCCATTAAGATCTGAGGCCGATGAGCGAGGATTAACACACGGGGTATTTCCCCTGGACCCCACACCATGGCCTTGCACTGCCAACCCGCTCGAACATTATTCACTAATTTTACCACCCCTTTACGGTGGTCCCGTAAATCACGTTCCCTCACTCTTCACTAGGGACAGTCACGACACTTCCTATTATGAATTGAGCCTATATTGATCCTTAGGCCCCCCTGAACGCCAGTTTCCTCATTCCGGTTTTCTCAGCCTCCTCACCCATTCAAAACACTCCGCCCCCTGCCTCCCCCAGCTCGACCCCCCCCCCCCCTGCACATCTGCGCAGGCGCAGCGGGAACCCAGCTGATTTCATTAAAAATGCAAATAAAATTTGACCCAAATCAGCACATTAAAACACTTATTAGACCTATAGCTTCGGAAATTAAAAAAATTTCACATCACCTACACATAATATTCTATTACATTTAAGCATCCCCGAGCGATAAAATGTATAAACAGTTCGCTCATTACTTACCTTAAAATATTTGTAGTCTTAATGTAGGGTCAGGGGTAAGTAAATGAGATAAAACGAATAAATGAAAAGAGAAAAGAATGAGTGCATGAGAGAGGACAGGCGCAGAGTTATGTAAACAAACAGGCGAAGGTAAGTTTTGTAAACGAAGTGTACACGTCTGGTTTGTGTACAAGTTACATTGTGTACAGGTTGTCTCTACATTGATGCGGTAGAATAAATAAAGAAGAACCTCCCATGCTCATGTAACATCATTTTGAGAAGAAATGATGCTCTGAGTGAAGGCAATGGAAATAAGTCACTCTGACTTTTTTGGGTTATCCTAGGTTCTTTACACATATGTTGTTATGTATGATAATCTATGTAACTGTATTTGTGTATACCTGAATAAACTTACTTACATACATGCGAAAGGAATAATTTTCTACAGTTACCCCCAGTAACACATTTTCTCTTATGTTAGATTAGAGAAAATGTTATTCTTGGCATCACTTGTACAAGTTATCGGGCTACCCACATCTCATATTTATGTTTATTTATTCTATTGTAGGGTGTATTTATCATCTTTTTATGTTATGTATCGTGTTATTATATAATTTTGAAAAAAATATCATGGATGGATTAATGAAAATGTGTATTTATTACGTAAATATACAACATTATAATGAGACTTGGTGATTATTATTATTATTATTATTATTAGCATTTCTAATATGGCGTCACTTGTGCAAGTCGTCTGCTACAACATCTCATATTTATGTTTATTTATTCTATTGGGGGGTGTATTTATCATCTTTTTATGTTATGTATCGTGTTTATTATATAATTTTGAAAAAATATCATAGATGGATTAATGAAAATGTGTATTTAACGTAATATACGACATTTAAATGAGACTCGATGATTATTATTATCATTACTAATATGACGTCTGGAGACATAAGACACTCTTACTGATTTTAATGTGTACCTGCATGCCAGCACAGTATGTAAGTTTATTTAAGTACAGGTATACATAAGTATAATTATCAGAGTATATATAAAATATGAAATAACTTTTAAAAACATTTGAAATTTTGGAGTTTCCAGACAAAATGGAGAGACTTTAGTGCTTACTGAGCTCAAAGAAGAATGTAAACAAACAAGGTGGGGCGCCGGTGACCGTATTAGAAGTCAGGTGGGGGGAGCCGTATAGCGAGTTTTGGTCATAATTTGAAATGACCGTATTAGCGGAATGCCATAAAGTGA